GGAAATTGCCAGATTCAGCAGATAGATGTCAGTCATGCTTTTCAGCCTCTTGTATTTTATCAAGATCAGCACAACAAGCGCGTTGCCCACCAGGCCAAATATCAGCACCAAGGAGTACAGTGGTGGCAGAAACTGGGATGCAAATCGATTAACATCAGCTTTTTGGCATGGTACTGTGTCATCTTCATCATAGCTATATGGGAAATTGCCAGATTCAGCAGATAGATGTCAGTCATGCTTTTCAGCCTCTTGTATTTTATCAAGATCAGCACAACAAGCGCGTTGCCCACCAGGCCAAATATCAGCACCAAGGAGTACAGTGGTGGCAGAAACTGGGATGCAAATCGATTAACATCAGCTTTTTGGCATGGTACTGTGTCATCTTCATCATAGCTATATGTTGTTGTTGGTATCTCCATCTCTGGTTCGCTGGCAGAAGTATCCATCTGACAATGGCCTAAGAATGAAGGAATGGGTGATTATTTACAGGGTACTACATAGTATGACAGTGAAACACAGGAATGAAATTCATTGTATTATATAATTATATGTTCATACAAGTCATTAGCATGTACTGTGCTTCTTGATTGTCACTTTCAAATACCCTTTGCTGTAAGCAAGATAACAATTGCTGATGGTAAAATGTAAAAACAAAATTGCAGGTCTTATTAGCAAAAGAATTTAGAATTAACTTGTTTGAGCACTCTGAATATTGTTTCCTATTTGTACAATTAGTGTTTGTCTTCAGTAAACCATGTCAGGGCCATAACACACATGAAAGCTAATTGGTGACTAATAGCTGGGGCGGCTAGTTCAGAACTGCATTGCTAGTAAGTGTGCTTTAAATAAGTGTTTGAATCAGTCAAAAAGAGAGCAACAGAAGAGAGAGCACAGTTAGGATATATCTACACAGCAGGGCTAAACTCGAAATAAGCTATGCAAGTTGAGCTATGCTAGTTGCTTAGTTTAAGTCAAAATAGCTTATAAATTTGGACATATCTACACTGCACTTATTTCAAAATAGAGCACTCTTCCCCCAACTTTCTTTACTCCTTATACAATGAGGTTTACAGAAGTCAGAGTAAGAGGCCCATTATTTCAAATTTATTTTGAAATAACAGGCTTGCTGTACAGATGTGCAATATGTTATTTTGGAATAGCTAGTGTTATTCCAAAATAACATTGCTGTGTAGTCACACCCTTAAAGCTTTTTCAGTTTGCCAAAGGACATTCAGATGGCATTAGCCCGCCCCATACCAATAAGCCATGAGTGGGTATGTATTGGTAGGCTATGGGCAGAGAGCATCTAAGAAGGCACAGGCAACATTTACAATCTTCATTATTTGTTGAAAATTATTTGTCTACTTCTAATTCTTATTCTTTTAACGAGCTCCTAAATTTCTCATGTAAAAGTGCTTCCACATCTGGTTTTCATTGGCTCTGAAAAAAAAAAAAAACCAGACTGGTACAAGGGCCCGTTTACTCCAATATGGCAATGTAAAGTAGCCTTAATAGCAGTATTTTAGGGCACTTTATATGATCAGAATGAATTAAAGGGGCCCTTGTGAAAACAAGAACAAGGTGTGTACTCTTTAATTAAGAAAATGGTTCCTTTTTGTCTTTAGGCCTGATTCTCATTTATCTCAAGGCCACTTTAAACTGTTGTAGTCATGCAAAGGAGCCTTGAAGAAAATGAGTATATATAGAATTTATTTTAACTTGAAGGACCATTTACATCATCAGAGCAATGCCAAGTGATCTTGAGGTAAATGAAAATCAGGCTCTTTTGTTCCTATTTTTAATTATAATCTTCTTATATACATATACAACAAATGGCTGGTTTACCTGCTAACTGGGAAAACGTGGAAGAGGAGATTAGACAACCTGGCCACAGAATCTATGCTGAGAGATGAAATGGCAAGTTTAACCTCTTTTGCAATTTAGACCAAATCCAAACAATGAAAGATATTCATGGTATATATTGATGGGCGAATAAAAACAGAGCATTGTTCTCTATTACCCAAGCAATATTCATGACATTGTTGTCAGCTTCTAACCTGATAGAAATTTTACAATATATAACCTGGTATTCGAACTCCTCCCTGAATAGCACCTAATTATTTAGAAATCACAATCTTCTCCATTATGTTGTTTTATTTGAAATCTTTTATTTAAAAATATATTTTTGAATATATCCATGGCTAGTACTGATTATCTTTTTTCTAGTTACCGTATTCTGCTGATATTTAATATTGAAGTTAAAATGATCCACTTGAGTTGTGGCCCTGTGCCTCAACTCTAATGAGTTATTTGTTCAGTATCAGACATGCCTACTATCTAGGGTATGAAAGTTGGTTGGAGTTAATGATTTAATAGACATTTTCTGTAAATTATACCAAAACTAGGAAAATGTTAAGCAGCTATCTGCAAATTATCTATGAACAAGCTTCGCTATTTAAAAATGTTACTCACTGAAAAATATTCAAAGATTTTATATAAACTATTGCAGCTTATGGATTTCTCATTAATTATTCACAAGTATAGCTTTGAATATTCATGATTTTAAATTAAGTATTTGTACTCTGCAATTGGTCACCTAAATCCTATGATATTGTTTCTTCTGCTTTTTTCCTAAACAGAAGGATTTGACTAATTCCTTTCCAGAGTGCATTGTAGTGTGGGTAGATCTGCAAGAGTTTCTGCAAACATTCTTGCAAGCCAAACCTATGCAAATATTTACAGGAAATAAATTAAAAAGTTGCAAATATTGAGTTGCCTTTCATGAGCGAGCAGAGGTGACATACATTCTTGCCTAGTAACAGCACTCTTGTAAATTGTAGTGTTTTGAGGGAGCTTGGTATATTTTAAATAGAATAAAAGTTTTAGGTGTGATATTTGCCACCTCGGCTACGTCTACACTGGCCCCCTTTTCCGGAAATGCTTAAAACGGAACAGTTTTCAGTTATAAGTATTTCCGGGAAAAGCGTGTCTACATTAGCAGGATGCTTTTCCGGAAAAGCACTTTTTCCGGAAAAGCATCCGTGCCAATGTAGACGCCGCAAAAAAGCCCCAATCGTCATTTTCGCGATCAGGGCTTTTTTGCGGAAAAGAAATCTGTGCTGTCTACACTGGCCCTTTTCTGGAACAGTTTTCTGGAAAATGACTTTTGCCTGAATGGGAGCAGTATAGTTTTTCCGGAAAAGCACTGATGATTTTACAGTAGATCGTCAGTGCTTTTCCGGAAATTCAAGGGGCCAGTGTAGACAGCTGGCAAGTTATTCTGGAAAAGCGGCTGATTTTCCAGAATAAGTGGCCAGTGTAGACACAGCCCTCATGTATGAGTACATTGGAAGCGTAAAGTACAGAAAACTCTTGGTGGCACTAGTTTTGTTTTATTGTTCCTGGCTAGGCTGGGACCAGCCTCTCGGCCGCATAGTTTCAGAGGATGCTTTGCTGGACAGTTCCCTAGTGATGTTCTGTGGCACCATGTTGATGTGGTATCCATCAAAAAGAAGAACTCTTCATTAAGTGCTTTATTCATGTCATTGTCTCCCTGATGGTTAAACATTGTACAGCTTCTGGTTTGCCTGGCCTGCTTAAAAATATATTACTTACAAATAAAGCCTGCATTAAAGAAACATTAAGGCTATAAAATCTTGCTCTGTAAAGTTAAGGAATGCCAAAATGAAGGCTATTTGTTAGATAATGTACTCAGCCACAATGTAATGGGGCATCAACCCCACTGGCCCATAGAGTGTTAATAGAGCCTCAGCAAGGCTGTGGAGGAGCCAGCAAATCACAGAAGGCCTTATAAGAGCAGCCAATCAGGGGCGAGATAGGCCCATATAAGAAGAGCTGCAGTGCCGAGCAGCTTATAGAACTTCAGGGGGAAGGCGCACTGGCTGTCTTGCCTGCAATGGGTAGCAAGCAAACAGGACAGAGCAGTGCTGCAGACAGGGACCAGGTCGCTTAAGGCAGCTCTTGGCAGGCTGAAGGAACCTGCAGGCAGAGGCCCTGAGGCAAGTGCAAAGAGAGTGTTTGTGCTGCAGGGAAGTGGCCCAGGAAAGGTACTGGGAAGAGTCAGAGGACACTTGCTAGTGGCAACCATCTATAGGGTCCCTGGGCCAGGACCCAGGACAGAGGGTGGGCCCAGGACTCCTTCTGTCTCCCTTGCTGCTGAGGAAGTGGTTGGACTAAGGAACTGCAACATTCCTCCAGAAGGCGGGGAGCACAAAGTGTGGCACAACCAGAGGGCGCACCTGAAGAGGATGCCGTGGTCCTTGGAGCGACACAGATCTAGGAGGTATGTCTACACTACCCCGCTAGTTCGAACTAGCGGGGGTAATGTAGTCATCCGCAGTTGCAAATGAAGCCCGGGATTTGAATTTCCCGGGCTTCATTTGCATGAAGCCGGCCGGCGCCATTTTTAAATGCCGGCTAGTTCGGACCCTGTGCCGCGTGGCTACACGCGGCACGGACTAGCTAGTTCGGATTAGGCTTCTAATCCGGAACTAGCTGTACTCCTCGTGGAATGAGGAGTACAGCTAGTTCGGATTAGGAAGCCTAATCCGAACTAGCTACTCCGTGCCGTGTGTAGCCACGTGGCACGGGGTCCGAACTAGCCGGCATTTAAAAATGGCGCTGGCCGGCTTCATGCAAATGAAGCCCGGGAAATTCAAATCCCGGGCTTCATTTGCAACTGCGGATGACTACATTACCCCCGCTAGTTCGAACTAGCGGGGTAGTGTAGACATACCCGGAGACGGTGATGCCTTGCTGCCATCACCAGAGATGGGCGCAGTGGTGATTAGAGCTAATTCCCAGGAGTGCCAGGAGGAGGCACTGCGGCAGTGAATCGAACCTTGTCACAGGCTCATAGAACTCAGAGCCCTAGGACAGGTCTGTGGCCTACTGGGGCACAATCCAGACTAATGGGTAGCTGTGTCACCTCTGTCCTGTAAACTGGGGTACCCTTTTCAATAGCCATTGAACTAGACTGCTCACAGTCATCAGCATGTAAGTCATGCATATGTTTCTGCTTGTGCTGCAGCCAGTCAGCCACACCCTGGCTCTTACCAGCTTTAAAGATGTCCCCAATACACAAGGGCTATGTCTACTCTACAAACCTCTTGCAGAAGAGAAAATACAAATGGAGAGCTCATTTCCATATGCAGCACTCTCGTTTGCATTTCTTCTTCCTTTTCCTTTTGCACAAGAGGTTTTTGCACAAAAAAGCTCTGTGTAGACAGCGCCTTTTTGTGCAACCCCCCCCCCTTTGCGCAAGAGCCGTTCTTCCTCAAAAAATGAACAGATCATTTTATTTCAGAAGCCCCATTGGGCCCAATTCTCATGAAACTTTACAATTGATCTTCATAATGTGAAATCCAGGATCATTCCGTGTGAAATGGATCCATTCAGATTGCTTACCGCAGAGCTAGCCTACCATGCAAGAACAGG